GTTTTTTGTTTTAAAATGAAATAGAATACTTGTATTTGAGCAGAAGATGAAGCCACCAAAATCCTTTATTATCGATAATTGACAATTTGAACTATAAAGTTGAGATTGTATATCTTTCAGTTTTTCTTCCTCATCTTTTGAGGGACCACCAAAATAATTCAACATCCAAACAATATATTTTCAAATTCATACATTGAAACAATACATCTAATATGGATGACAAAAATAACAATATATGTGGATACTCGTTCGAATCCGACCTAGCTAATAGGGTGGGTAAAAGTCGAACCCGAAATATTTTTTATTTGTAAGGACGAAACCCGAACTCGAGTACTTCGAGTGATGGGTGGACATGGTTTTTTCACTATCCAATCTCACCCGCCCAATTATACACATGCATATGTACTTTGTTTAATAATGATCAATATTTTTCTCAACATAACTTATATCTATCATACATATATAATATTTTCATGAAATTATATTGTTATGAATCATTTTTCTTCATCTTAGTAATCTATTGTTGTAATTTGTCATTTATGTAATGTCAGTACATGCATGTGTATATGTTAACATGTTGATTGAAGTTATATATAAAAAGATTATTATCCATGGATAACCATGGATACTCGAAATTCGATTGGGAATTATTTTGATATTCTACAGGATGATATTCTACTGGATTCGTTTATGGGAGGCTAATATTCCACCCAAATTGAAAGTGTTTGTCTGGCAAATCTTTCACCAAATCCTACCAACTATTGAAGCCCCAATAGAGAAGGATTTTCGTGTGCTTCCCAGATGTCCGGTTTGTTGGGCTGATTCAGAAACAGTGGAACATTTGTTTCTCTATTTACCGGTGGCGCGGGCCCGTTGGGACTATTCAGGACTGGAGTATCTTGGTCAAGGGTTGCCTCGTCATACCTTCCTCCTCTTTGTAAAAAAGTTGATGTCATTAATACATCAACCTTCTCTGTTCATGGCGTTTGTTGCCATCCTATGGAGGATCTGACGGTCTCGTAACAGGGTTGTCTTTAAGGGTAAACAGTTTGGGATCCCTGCCTGGATGTGTCAGTTTAACCAGAAATATGAGAAGTGGATAAGCTTGCCGTTAGATCTCACACCTCAGTCTTCCATCACTTTGGTACAACACTTGGGTCTTTGGGGGACTAATATGGATGTTTGTATGTGGGATGGGGCTACAAGGAGTGGGTCTCATTCGGCCGGCGGGATGGTTATTTTGAATTCAGCTAGGGAAATCCTTATGGCTAAGGGGATTCAATTCTCGTTGATTGATGATCCCATGGTGGTCGAATTACTCGTGTTCCGAGAGGCTATTTTGTGGTGCCTGGGCCAGGGCTTCACGGAAATGAGGTTTGAAGGAGATGACAAGGTGATTATTGAGAAGATCAATCGAGCTGATATTAGAGATAACCGGATGGGGGGTATTATTGAAGAAATCGTGCATTATTTTGCCATTCACTATGGGTTTAGTGTTCGATTTGTAGGTCGGCGTAACAATAGGGTAGTCCATGTGGTGGCTAGAAAGGCCCTGTCTTTGTACCCGTCTATAAATTATTTTTTTAATTTATTTCCAGACCTGGCTAAACTCCAAAATTTAACTGTTTATTCTTTGAATAAATATATGATTATCTTTTGAATAAATATATGATTATCTTTTGTAATAAAAATAAGATATGGGTAATCCAAAAAGAGTAGGGTAATACATGGAGGAACTACATTGTTTGGGGGAGACCATAGTTTGATCGTGGAAAACTGGGAATTGGATAGAAAAACCGGCAGGACTGAGAGTTTGAAACTTCTATCGCGTGCTACGTATCATTTCAGCACGTGACTAATAAAAAATTAAACCTGCGAGTAGTTTTTCAACGTTTTAAATTTCCTGCAACGAGAACAAATTGTGAAATTATAGCAGTAAAAGACAAATTGTGAAAGTCGGGCTGGGGTTTTCATGGACGCATTGATGTGGTCATGTGCATTAGCAAGTTAGGTACCATAAGATAAGTTTAATTTTTTTTGTTGAGTGAATAAGATTGTTCTTCAACTAAATTTAGAACATGTTAGTTGATAGATAATTTTTTCATTGCACAAATTATGGATGGAAAATTATTTTCTAACTAATTTTGTTATTGTATTGTGCGGAATACTTTAAGGTTTAGATATTGCTATATATGTATTGTTTCTCAAGCAAAAAGTTATGATCATGAGTTTCCTATTTATGCTACACTTTTTCCGACAAACTCTTTTTTTTTTTTTTTTTGTTATGTCAAATTTTTTTCCAACAATAGGCAACTAAGTGATTACATCAATAAATAGACAAGTTATGAATGATTATTCACGAGTGTTATAACCAAGATTGTCACACCTCAACCGGGAGACTGGTCGGACAAGGTCCGACGAAAGTCGACCTAAAAATAGGCTCTACAAAACCAAGGTTATAATGTTAGAGAGGAAGAAGAATAGCGAGGGAAGGGGGAGGGGAAGAGACAAGGGGATGGCGGGTGGATCTTGATATTGGTAAGTTTTTTTTTAATGTAATTTGAGTTTTTTATAGATATAGTTAGTACATTTCATTTCAGCCACTAAATTTCTACTTATATGCAAATATATTTAAAAAAGGTATAAAACGGCTCAAATATGGTGGACCTCGATCAAACTATTAAACTTTAAACCGCTTGCTTGACCGGCTCAATAATTTAAACCAATTTCACAACTTTGGTTATAACCATTAAGATCACAACGTTCATCATTGATGAAAAGTTATAAGAATTTCGAAAATGAAAAAAATTGATGTCACCTTAATGTCATACGAAATTCAGCATTTCAAATAATTTAAAAAATTTAAATACACATCATAAATACATTGTATTCAAATGACATTCTGACCAAAGGGTCGGACAACAAGCTAGTTATAATTAATATAAAAAAAAGGCGGAGTGTTGCTCGGGTGGAGAAAAACACCAATATTGTCTCGCTACGAAGAACAAAGGATTAGGGTTGGAGTTTTCTTCATTTTTTTCCTCCATTGCAAAACCAGCATTCTCGCTACAAAATCGGCAACCAAGCTCCGTCAATTGAAGTCCCTCCTTCCCCGCACGACAACAAAATCGTTAAATCTACACCTCAAATGAAGTGGCTTGACTTGTCGAGTGCTGATAGATCGAGCGACCTCCCTCCAACATGATCGAGCGCTTCCTCCTCTTCCTCCCTATCAAAGACGCAGCCAAAACCACAACACTTTCGACTCATTGGAGGCACCAGTGGAAAGGCATTCCTCAGTTCAATTTCAACGTTGATTTTGTCTGAATCCCCGGAGTGGGAAGCTACGAGCCCAACGCGAACATAGTAATCTTGAGGATTTACAAAGCCCTGCTGACCCACGACGGGCTGATCGCCATAGTAGTCCTTGCGATCCCGGGGTTGAGACCCATTCACGACCTCGGTCACTTAATTCTCTACCTGTTCAACAATGGGGTCAAGGAATTCTTCCTCCACTTCGGCGACGAGATGGACGGCTACCTGTATCTTGACTGCGACGGTTTTCCTGAAACTGCAGAGTGTCGTTGGGCAAGGAAATTGGTGGGCGGCCCACCTAATACAACTGAACTATTGCAGTTGTTGGCATATTGACCACATGTGTTGATAGGCTGCGTGGTTTTGCAATCTTGGACTAAAGGCCCAAATCACCGCCGGTGGCCTCCTCCTGCCAGCGGCGCAGCCACCGCCGACATGACGTACGAAACAAAAACTGAATTCCTATTTAACGCACTAACTTTTTAAAATTATCGCCCTAAATCAACTGAACAGACAATTCTACCCCGAATCCCAAAACCCTCTGCCAGTCCATCGCCCTAAATCCAATACCCCTGATTGCTCCCGTCACCGGCGATAATCCCAGGGCGTTCTCTTCTCTAGAGATCCCGTCGCCGACAATAATCTCTCACAGGGCATTCTATTCTCCAATTATCCCGTCGCCGACAAAATTCTCTCTCACGTGTTCACGCCGTTCTCTTCTCCACCTCTGTTGCTGCTCCGCCCCGTCGCCGCTGATGATGGAGCCGCCCATCGCCGTTGAGGAAGGAGAGAGGTCTCCGCACGAGCGCTCAGCAGCAGAGACAATTGGCAACCCGATCACGCACTTAGCAGGCATGGGCGGTGGGCGGCGAACTTCCAAGGCGAACGACGCGACGGTGGAAGAATCCAGGGCGAACGACGGCGACTGACGGTTGAGCAGAGGAAGGAAGAATTCCCAACACCCTCTGCAAGTCCATCGCCCTAAATCCCTAACCCCTAATTCACCCTGCTGCTTGTCTTTGGTCGTCGTCGGCGCACCCAGTAGGAGGAGGAAGGCCGGGAGGAAGGAGGTCGACGTGAGTGGGCTGAGATGTCGGGAGTTAATTCCTCCTTGGCCGGCCGGGATTTTCTTCTTCGTCCTCCTTCCCGTCAAGCTCGCAGTGGCGAAAAGAGAAGCAAAGGTCTTGCAATGGGGCGATGGGATTGTTTAATTGTGATTTAGGTTTGAATTTGGAATATGGGTAAATCTGTCAATTTTTTAAATTTAGGGCGAGAAATTTAAATTTTTAGGACGATAAATATTAACTCAAAAAAACCCCTAGCTATCGCCTATGGAGATTTTCGCCTTCCACTAAACTGGAAGCTCGAAGATTGCATGTGTTATTGACGGCTGACGCTACGCATCAATTCAGCAGGTGACTAGGATAAAAAATAAAACCTGCACGTGACTAGTCGCCATATAAGAGAAGAATGAAATTTAGGCAGTTCTGGTGGAGTCTCACCCCCGGGAGAGGAAAACAACGCGCTCTCCCTCGCTACGAAGAAACTAGGGTTCTTCTCCCCTTTTTTCTCTATTGCAAAACCAGCAGGTCTGTCAAAGTGTCAATCGTCGTTAAATCTACACTTAGATGAAGTGGCTTCGCCTGTCGAGTCCTGACAGAACCTGCGACCTCCCTCCCAACGTGATGGAGCGCATCCTCCTCTTTCTCCCCGTCAAAGACGCAGCCAGAACCGAGACACTATCGACACATTGGAGGCACCAGTGGAAAGGCATTCCTCAACTCAATTTCAACGCCGATTTCGCCCGTGTCCCCGGAGTGGGAAGCTACGAGCCCAACGCGAACACAGTAGTCCTGAGGATTTACAAAGCCCTGCTGACCCACGACGGGCCGATCACGAGAGTCGTCCTCGCGATACCGGGATTGAGACCCATCCACGACATCGATCACCTGATTCTCCACCTATCCAACAAAGGCGTCAAGGAATTCGTCATCCGCTTCGGCGACGAGATGAACGGCTACCCGTATCTCGACTGCGACGTCTCGTCCTCCCTGTTTGCTGCTCGTGAGTTGGTTTCCCTGAAACTACAGGGTTGCACGTTGAAGGCGCCGTCTTGGTTCGTCGGGTTTAGTAAGCTCACTCGTCTCGTACTGAATAACGTGTACCTGCCCTCTGATTTCTTCACGCATTTCCTTCCCAAGTGCCCGTTGCTTGAACAATCGAGACTTCTGCATTGTGACCAGTTTGTCAACACGGAAATTCTGGCTCCTTCACTCAAATTGCTTTCCATTCAGTCGACTCTGTACAGAATTTGCTTCAAATACGCCCCCCTTCTGTCGGTTGTTTCGATCCTGGATGCCGACGAGTTTAGTGATTACAGGTTTACAACGTTTCAGCAGTATGATCCCGACATGGTGGCCCTGTTTACTTCTCTCCCTGAGCTCCGGCAGTTAACAATTGGAACTGGATTTCTGCTTGTAAGTTTTTGTTATGTTTATTCTGTAAATAGTTGTTGTTCAATCTTGCTAGCTATTGTGCTAATGTGTAAGGCTTTCATCTAGTTCTTAGCTGCAGGACAAGTCCCGTACAAGCTCCCAACGCATCTTCATCACTTGAAAGTCCTCAAAATACACCTTTTATTATATAGGTGGCCGGAGGCTCGTGTTCTTGTTTGTCTAATCATGAGTTCCCCCAACTTGCAGACTCTCAGCATTCAGGTTGGTTTCAAACATGTGTATGTACAACTGTTATATAGCGCGTTAAATCTCTGGTAGCGCTTGACTTCCTGTTTCCTTGATGAATGCTATTCTGCAGCTGGATACGCTTGATTACCATCCGCCATCTAAGGTTACTGACAGCTTGGACAAGTTGTTAAAAGCCAAGGATCAGCATGGATCTGGTTGCTGCTTTCAGTGTCTTGAGGAGTTGAAAATTTGGGGAAGCCGTGGGATGCAAGTTGAGCTGGACCTGATAAGGTTTGTACTGGCCACTGCCCCACTGCTATGCAAGATTCACATCGAGCCTAGAAGCGAATTGAACTGCGACGTGGTTCTGAAGTTCTTGATGCAGCTGAGTCGATATGAGCGTGTTTCGGAGAGGGCAGAGATCATCTATCTCTGGAAATATGAGGGGTAATTGACAACCCCTTTAATTTGCTTGTTACTGTTGCTGCTGGGGCCAGCATTTGTCAGCTCGCTTGATGGTGCATTACTGTAGGGCTTGTTGTGACATTGACACGCATCATCAGTTTAGCTCTTTGCCTCTTCTCTCTTCTATGAGTGTGCTCAATCTCTCTCCGGTGGTAACTGGTAAGCGTTGTATAGGGATGGCAATTTACCCATCCATGGGTAATTTTGCCCAAACCCAAGTAGACCCATTTATTATGGGTGGGTTTGGGTGATGTGTGTATGGGTTTGGGGTTTGTATATGGGTTTGGGTTAGATATGGATATTATCTAAATGGGTATGGGTTGGATATGAATATCCATTTACTTGAGAGTGTTTTAACTACACATGCAAAAATTGGACTTATTTGTAAAACTTGAAAATTTTAGGTATCAAAATGTAAGACCAAAAAAAATTAGGTACCAAAACGTAATTTTCCAACGATATTTTGAGGACTTATGGGTATGGGCAAAATTAAGTACCAAACTGTAATTTGTATTTGGGCATGGGTACAAACCCAAATCCATTTGTTATAAACCCAACCCAACCCAAAGTAAATGGATATGGGTACAAACCCATCAAACTTTACCCATATCCATATATTTGGATTTCATACCCAACCCAATTGGGTTGGATAGTAAAATACCCATGGGTATGGGCAAAATTGCCATCCCTAGCGTTGTAGCATAGCATACTGTTCGGTGCCTGGAAACATGAGGACTTGTAGGTAGTGAATGACCAAGAGAGGCCAGGTAGTAAGCTACATCCGTTAGCTTTGCTAAAAACACGCTCTAACTTGACCTCTCACTCCAAGGCTAATGGTTGTTGAATCTCAGCATTTGTGCTATTGAGTGTTTCTTCGCAAAGAAATGGAGATTAGAGTCAGAGTTGAGAGATAATTTGTCTGGAAAAAAAAACATTTGTATTTCTCAACTCTTTAGTGATCTTTAAATCGTGCACAATCCAAGCCATATCGATACATGTGATTGAACCCTTCCCCCCAAAAAAGGTTCACTACAAAGGGTCTCATGAAGCATTCATCGTCTCCCCCTAATGATGTGGCTAGTCATCCTGCACAAAAGAGAGTAAAAGATGGACCCATCAGTGTTAATGCAAGCCCAACCATATTGTGATAGTTTCGGACCTGTATCTCATCACTCTCTTCGCCCGCCCTTACGACAAATATCTCTCTCCTTCTCAAAGGTTACATGTCTATGATGCCTAGGGACGATATGTATTACTATTCATCCTTGTGGGTCATCTTCACTTGAGATTTCATGCTCAAATTTAATTTTTGTAGATATGAAGAAGGTTACGTGACAGATGGATGTGTCTCAGTTGCAAGAACAGAGATCAAAAGACTAAGGGTGGTTTGCATGAAAAGATTATACTTCACCAATCATTCACATTTTTTTTCGAAGAGGTAGCGTAGTAGTATAAGCATGCTTGTAGTTGTAAACTGAGAAAAGACAGACAAGAACGGAAAACAAACAAATTGGCAAATGATCACCACAACGAAATCACATATCAAACAATTTGCACCCTTAGACTAACTCCAACCCCAAAAGCTATATTTAGCCTCCAAGCTCTCAAATGTGCATATTTGCCTCCCCAAAACACTTTTTTGCTCCAACCCTATAGGCTTCCAAATTTAGCATCCCACATCTTTTTTTGATTTAATTTCCATAATCCATACTTATTTACAATATCATTCTTGTAATTCACTTTAATTTTTTTATAGTTTGTTATTACTTGTGAAAACAAAATTTTCGATGTAAATTTTTTTAAATTCCGAGATAATTTTTTTTGTGCAAAATTAGTCATTTTTTTGTGATAAATAGATGAGAATGAGAGAGATTGATTTGAGGATGAGTGCAGAAAAACCATGAGAAGTTACTCATTATATAGAAGAAAAAAAATATGACCGTTTTATGGCCGTTAAAATGTGTCCGTTGCAATGTGACCGTTTTATTGTCACTACTTCTTTCAAATTAAAACGCAAACACAGCCACACAAACTAAAACGCAAACACACCACACAAACTAAAACGCAAACACACCACACACAAATAACCACACAAACAAAAATTGAAAAAAAAATGCAGCAGCAGGGGGACCCCGCGTGCAGGCAGGACCACCCGCGGGGGGCGCGCATGGGCCGCACGCGCGCGGGCGGAAGCCCTTCCTCCGCGCGTGTGCGGCCCAAGCGCGCGCGGGTGGTCCTCGCCTGCACGCGGGGTCCCCCTTCCAGCTTGTATTTTTGCCCACTTTCTCCATGGAGGCTTCTATCTATCCACCTCAACACTCCATTCTCCAAATTTGAAAGCAAAATTTTTGATGGGTTGGAGATGAAAAAAGGCAAATTGTTGCCTTTCTCCAAATTTGCAAGCACGGGTTGGAGTTAGTCTTAGTTAAGTTCCAATCCTTGCTCCTCTTTGGTGGAGTGGAAGAAGTGTGGAAACTCTCAAGTCTCAACAACAAGGCCGCGCCCCATGGGCCGAGCCCAAGCAATCTGTTGATCCAGGCGTGGAATGATAGCCATTGGGTCACGCTCCGGCCCGTATCACTTTCGCCCGTACTCTTCTGTTGCCTCTCCAGTCTCCGCCTTCGTAAACCCTAAGCCGTTCCTCTTCAGTCTTCACCACATATATATTGTCGCGCCCTCTTCTCTTCCATTGATATGGCGATTTGGTTTTGGGGGAATCATAGGAGTGGGTGGTTTGGAAAGAAACTCGATCGGCAGAGTAGAGAATCGGCGAATCCTTTTCCCCATCGCTATCTTTTTCTTCCCGATACCACCCATTCCATTGAATTCCATCAATGGATTTAGATATGTATGTACTGCCTTGCGATCTCCTCGTTTCTATGTTGTTCCTCTCATGGGTTATCTCTGTTTTTGAATTTATTTGGATGAAACTCAATACCCTGGTGGAAAACATGAAAGCAAGGGCTCTGTTTTCTTTTGTTGAACAGAGCTCTCGTTGACCTCAGGTAGAGCACTTGTTCCTCGACTTTGGGTGAGCCTGTTTCTACTGGCTCAAGGCTCAGTAAGTGATGATACATTAGATTTATTCCTTCTGTCTTCTGTTGCTCTGTTTTTTTGGTATGATTTGTGGTTTTGCTGTTAGAGGGCGTAGGCGTCTATGTGGGTAAGTAGTTGATGATGACAAATCCAAAGGCTTGTTTCTCATAGAACATTCGCAGTGGCCGACTAAGAGCTTTCGCCTTTCGCCGGGCTTGAGAGCTAGTGCTGCTTCATTTTCTTCCTTGGATGTCTGAGACTCTTTTTTTTTTGTTGCTCCCGGTGTAGTCTAAGTCCAGTTTTCTGACCGCCAAGTTTGCAACATTTGTGAAGACTATAGCGCGACAGTAACATTGTTGATTCTCTAGCTTTACTCTTTTCTGTTGATGAACTCTGTTGTAGCCCAGTGCTGACTCTGGCCTTCTGCAAATAGAGGTTATTGACAGCTTACAGTTGTTGCTGGAAGCAGAGGGTGTTCCTGCTGCGAGTTTCTTTCAATGCCTTGAAGAGCTATGCATGAATGGCTGTCAGGGTACACAGGTTGAGCTGGACCTCGTGAGGTGGGTAATAACTTCTTCCCGTCGACTTCGCAGGATGTACATTAAGATGGCAGATATATTGGACTCCCGAGAGGGTTTCAAATTCTTGAAGGAGGTGACACGATATAAGCGCGCTTCCACAGAAGCAGAGGTCATATGTGTCTTGAACGAGGAGGATGAGGCTTCGTAGCTTCACTCTTCATACCCTCCATCTGACTTCTTTGAAGTTTAACGGTCATAACATTTTCGACCAACGAGGCTGACATTTTGTAGCTCGACTCTAAACCCCTTTAGGTCATCTTTTGTCAACTTCTATGAAATTTCATGCTCATTAGCATTTCTTTGTTACTGTAGATTGTTTGTGGATGTCAAGAATCCTTTGTTACTGTAGATGGTTTGAGGATGTCTAATATATGGTTTAGTTCAATTTTTGCTGATATGAAAGGTTATCGTTTTCTCGTTTTGCCTTGATATTTTGTTTGCTATTAGTTCTCAAAGTATACTTCTCATAAGCAATTATTTGTTACTGTAAGTGACTAATTGCAATGCTCTATCCACATTCCAAACACGGTGGAGGATTTGGCCCTCAGAAATGCCATTATGGAATGCGAACGCAAGAGTCTCATCAAAGTTCTTCTCTGTGGCGATGCTAATTAAAACAGTAATATAATTGACTAGTGCACGTCCAAAGACTACAAAGATGCTAAGATTGGGGCAGCTAAACAGGAAATAGTACAACTGCAGTCTGACCTCCCTACTATGATCTACTAGAATCAATACCCACGGCTACGCCACGGGAACTAAATTTGCATTAGCATAATCATATGGCGGGCAGTTAAGTTGATAGCACCATAATTTCAATTATTTAGTCTCCATACCATAGTTTTAATTTGGCTTAACAATCGAGTTTGCAATATTCCATAGGTTATACTGAAGTAACAATCAGAAACACCACAAAAAAATAGCAAGAGGGAGAAAGTCATCTTGATTTGCACCAAGTAACTTCCATTAATTTAGCTGGTAGCTTAATGGGCAAGTAATCAAATTAGATCAGTGTATTTCAGAGTTTCGTCATAAAATAAGAGCAACAGATAACTCAGTACAGTTAAACCCTAGTCGAGGTACATGAATCAGACAAAGAAACCACTCATTCTATTAACTACATAAACAAAAATTGGAGAGTTTGAGTCACTTCAGCCTGAGCAATCTTTGAAGCCCCAAGGAAATTATCACATATCCTACATAAAACCAGCATGAAATCCACACTACCTGCATCAGTCTGCTTTCCCACTGTCATGAACTCCGGCTGAGTCATCTCAAATCATACAGTTCCCTTTTGCGTATGAACTTCACAGAAGCAAAATCCTTTGGCTACCCGCACAAAGCCAATTTGTTTTAAGAATAAAGTAGCTGGCATTTGAATAGAAAAAACATGTGTTTCTAACACAGATTCAAACCCAATATCATAATTCTGGGGCACAAAAACATTCTCAAGCTCAGAGCATGAGCAGGACCTTGCAATGGATCTATTTAGCAACTGAGGAATTTGAGACACATCACTGATGATATGGAGATGATAATGTTACCAATGCGAAGGCAACATACTTTATGAAAACTTAACACATATATATCAAGTGCAACTTTCCTAGTCTTCCAAAGTAGATAAGAATCCTGCCCAAAACATTAGATGATAGGGGAATCCTGCCCAAAACATGGGATGATAGGGGAAACAAACCTAGTGGATTCCCCTTATGAGAGAAGCACCAACCAGGGCACAGGAGAAGGGGCTCAACAATCAACTGACACGACTTCTGCAGCAGTTAGGGTTGAGACGTCGTAGCCGTTATCCTGTTCCGCATCCTCGTCCTCTCGACCTCTGGGCTTGTCTACGTTCTGAATCTCGCATTCATCATCATCATCATCATCATCATCACTGTCGTCAAGGAAAAGAAATGAGAAATCGCAGAGAGGGAAGGGGAAACCACACAGGAAGGAAGAAGAGAAAAAAAAGAGGAGAAGCAACCCGTCAGTCTCCACCTTGCTTGATCGGTTGATCCCCACACCGACCTTCTTGGAGACTCCTTCCCCAACACTGGAATCAGCACAGGCGCCTCCATCGCCTTCACGACCTTGCCCATAGGAAATATGTTTGGTTAGGAGATTAAATAAAGGAAAGAAAATAGAGGAGTAGAAGGAAGAAGAAGCGAAAGAAAGCGGATAACTAACCCGAACAAACCCACATTCGGTTCTTTCATTCCTATCCTAAAACCCACACTCCGAATTCCGAACCCAAAAGTCACCTTGTCTACTTTCCCTCCGTATTCTAATGAAATCTTGGCTTCCCCTCTTCCATCAGTCGATGCCGACGACATCATCCGTCTCCGCAACAGCCTTCTCGGGCCTTTTCATACAGCGAAAATGATTCTACAATCTGCAAACAGAGATAAAAGGGACCCATGTGGATTTGAAGGTCGGAGAGATAAAATGATCCTCTTCCTACGATGGCAAGACGTTGATATGAAGGTCGGAGAGATAAAAGGGAGTCCGGTTGCAACTGGTCCTCCCTGCCGCTGCACCGATTTCTTACTCTTCCTTTGGAGTCGAAAGAGAGAGGAAGTATAAGAAAATCGGGATATGGATGAAAGGTTGACTTATCGAATGGTGCAAAGAGATAGAAAGATAATATTAGCTGAAAGAAAATGAGGAGAGATGTGATTGGAGATGGAAGAGTGTGGGAGAAGGCTGTGTCAGGGACTGGCGATCGATGGAGCAGCGAAAAATATGGAAAAGCAGAATGAGGCGGCGAGAAGACGGACTCGATTGGAAGACTATTCGGCCAATGCTTGATTTGGGGGGAACTAGCGAGAGAGTGGTACAGTCCACTGTAGCGAGGTATGGGCGAGAGGTGTCGCTACGAATTGTAGGGCAAGCTTGAACAAAAGGCAGGGAAGCATTAGGTACAGAAAGAGTAGGTTGTAGAAGGAAGTGAGCTGAGGTTATAGGTGTCAAAACATAGTCCGACCCGATTAACCCACCCGATCAACCCGACCCGCAACCCGAATTGACTAAAAGTCAACAACCCGTAACCCGCCCGACCCGCAACCCGATTGACCCGCAACCCAACTAACTCGCAACCCGACTGACCCGCAACCCGATTAACCCGAGCCCGATTGACCCGCAACCCGATTAACCCGAACCTGACTAACCCGTAACCCGACTGACTCAACCCGAATTTCATCTAATCCACTTGAATAATTATAAAAATATACAATACATAGTTTTTCAAAATAAAGTTTTTCATTCTAAACTTAAGTAAAATTATTTTTTCATTTCGTATAGGAAATTTTAAAAATATGAAACTCACTTGATATTACGTATTTTAAGAAAATTACAAAAATTGAAACATGAAGGTCACTTGAGATTAGGGGTGCACAAACACACCCGCAAACCGACCCACCCGTCCAACCCGACCCAACCCACCCGTATTTATCGCTAAAACGAAGGTTTTGGGTTGGGTGACGATTTTCTTTTGTGCAACCAGCCTCTTTTGGGTTGGGTTTGGATTTTGGATTACACAACCCGTAGAACCCGACCCAACCCGTGTTCCAACTATTAGTATGAGTTCGTATCTAAAAAATATTTAAGTCGTATATAGCCATACTTATGTGAAAATTAAGATATTTCGCCATGTTTTTCTATCATGGTCTCCCTAATCTAATGCATTCTTCGACTTAAAGTTTAGACATAAATTAAATATAATTATGATTCACGTAATCATTTTTGTTGTATACAATTTTAATAGAATAACATATTATGGATGCATTTGTTTATAACCTTTTTAGCCTATTTCAACAAATATCGTGAAAAAAAACTAGGCATATGTTGAACTAAATCACATTTTATTAAAACTCAAACAACATTTGTGAATTTTGATACATTTCACATCGGTTTATTTGTTTGAAATTTTAATTAGTTATAAAATATTTTTATGGTGTATAATAATTATATATTTTATGTTGGGTTGGGTTTTTACTTAAAAATATCGCCAACTCAACCCAACCCAATTAGAAACAAACCGTAGGGTTTAAATTTTTTTGGGTGGGTTTGGGTTTGACAATTCCCAAACCGTAGTGTATGGGTCGGGTGATTAAAATACTTAAACCCGAACCAACCGACCCATGTACACCCCTACTTGAGATCATGACAATATTAATATAATATATAAATTAAAATTTTGGTTAATTTAACTATTCAATAAAATTATCAATTAAATATAAATAAAGTAAAGTAATGTATTTGGTAATTTGATGTTTTTAAATGAAGAGGGAAATTTTGGTGCATTCAAGTTTTTGGGAAGAGAAAGAAGAGGAAAATTTGGTTTTCTGAATTTTTTAGAAAAGAAACAAGTGGGAATTTTGGTGGTTTTGATATGTGGGAAGAGAAAAAAGTGGGAAAATTTGATTATGAAAGAGAAATAAGGAGGGAAACTTTTGAGTTTTCAACTTTTTGTAGAAGGAAAGAAGAGTGTAATTTGGTTCTTTCAATTTTATGGAAGAGAAAGAGGAGAGAAAATTGAGTTTTCTAATGTATGGAAGTAGAAAGAAGGAGGGAAATTTTAGTATTTTTGTGAAAAGAAAGAAGGAAACAAATTTGGTGTTTTCAATTTTTTTGGTTTTTCATAATTTTAGCTTTTGAAATATGAATCTTTAACTTTTATATGGAGGGCATGACTAGTTAAAATTATTCTTATATGCTTTGAAGGCTAATATATATATATATATATATGTATGTAATTGTTTATGGGCTAATAAATAAATTAACCATTAGTTACAACAATTTATACTAAACTTGATAAGTAATCTTTGACGGTTCGTTGTTTAGGATATAAAGTATATGGTTAGGGTATAGGGTATAAGGTACATATGGTTTAGAGTGTATATGGTTAGGGTATAAGATATTGATGGTTTTGACGGTTCTAAGTTTTTTATTAACATATGTTCAACTGAAGTCATTTGGAGTCTTTAACGGCAGGAGATCCCTTTTTAATTTATGTTTATGGTACGTGGTTAGGGTACAAGGTATGTGGTGTAAAGTATAAGATATATGGTTAGGGGATAACAATTAGCAAATATCACTTTTTATCTATGTTTTGAAAATCAAAATATGAATTTCACTTTTAAATTAACTATACTAGCAAAATCACAACACAAAGACATATGGTTAGGGTATAAGGTATAGGTTATGTGGTTAGTGTATAATGTATTGATGGTTTAGGGTATACAATCAACAACATATACTAACTTAATATTGTTGA